AAGAGAAATGAGAATCTTCTTTTAGCTAACCCTAAGGGGTGTAGCGACTTTGGCTCAAGTAATGCAGCAAAGCAAAATGAATTTCAAAAATGGTTTACTAACCCTTTTCTAATGTGGATTATCTTATAATGATGTTTAATGAATTAACGACTTACTCCTTTGTGTGTTTGTGCTCTTGTTATTGATAATCACATTGCAGATAAACAGGTGACATGAGGGGGACTCATTTTTTGGGATCTTAGGGAGCTTTATATTTTGGATTCATTTATTTGCACTATTTTGTACATGAGTGCATATTTGATAGTTTAAAACATTATGTAACTATGGATATGTATTAGCTGACATGGTGTTTTAACTCTGGATATGTGTAGCTATGGGTATTTTGGAAACCCATAGCTAGTTGTATGCGGTAGTTACTAAGCTGCATTAATACGAATTATGTTTTTATGTCAAATGATTATGTATGTCATTATTGGTTCATGGATTGAGTGTGATGAGGGAAGTGAGATTTTGAAATAAGGTTATTAAATTGGTAATGTAATTTATGAGTAAACGCATGAAATTGAATTAAAATAAGAAAAATTTTCAAGGGTAGAATTTCGGTCCTTACATGGAGAGTGATTTTCGTGAATGAATATGAAGTGAATGAGAACCTGAGTGAATCAATGAGAAGTTTTTCTTTAAAGTTTTGAGAACTTGAGTGAAAGAATGAGAGGGTGAAAGTGAAAGATATGGGTATGGAAATCCTTCTGCTTCTAGTGAGAGAAGGTGAGAGAGAGAAAATGACTTTTCAGAATACAATATAAAAAATATAAAATAAAATATAAAATATTAAAAAGATGTGACATGTGTCATTGTGCAATTGGTGTGATGAGGGGAGTTATCTCCTCACACTAGAAGATACATTATTCTCTATTTAAAAATATCTTTTAGATTTCATTCAGTGCAAATATTAGCTTATGTTGCTTCATCTATCTTGAAGATGAATAACTTTTAAAAAATAATATTTTAATTATATAAAAATATCTTTAAGATTTGATGCGGTGCCGACATTAGATTTTGTTGCTTCATCTATCTTAAAGATGATAAATTTTTAATAATACTTTCACTATTTTAATAATATCTTTAAAATTTTGATACAATTCATATATTAATTGCTATTGTTTCATTTATCTTGAAGATGATAAAATATCAACTATTTTAAAAAATCTCTTTGAAATATGATGTGGTGCGGATATTAGTTTCTATTGTTTCATCTATATTGAAGATGATAAAATCTCAACTATTTAAAAAATCATTTTGAGATATGATGCAGTACGAATATTAGTTTTGATTGCTTTATCAGTCTTGAAGACCACGTAATTTTGACTAAATACCAAAAATATCTGTGAGATTTGATGTCGTGCAGACATTAGTTTCTATAGCTCCATCTTTTCTAAAGGTGGAAAAAATTAAATCAAACAAATCAAAAAACTCATTTTCAAACCAGAACTACATAGTCTTGATTTTCCTATTGCACTAGTGATACGTAGGAGTAACATGAACTTTTGTTAAACACAAATAAAAATAAAATATTTCATTTTAACATTTACATTTTTATTAAATGTGCTTAAGGGTATAAAAGTCTGTTTGATTAGCGAGGGTACCATTTTAATAAAGGAGGATGAGATGTTAATACCTTCCCACATCCGTAATCGACTATCGAGCTCAAAATCTTGTTTAAAAGACAATTTTTATCCAATTTGGGCATAAAGAGAGTTTTCTATGTTTTCACCGTAAAAAACGTAGTTGTGACTCTAAATCAATTGTGAGAGGTATAAATCTAGTTCACCTCTCCCTAAGTCACAGGGTAAGCCTTCTAAATGAAAATCGGGTCGTGACAGCTGGCGAATCCACTGGGAACAACCCATAAGAGAGTCAGGCCGAGAAGCACTAATTACATGCTCCTCAATACCCTTTTTTGTTTTGTTTATTTCTTTTTGTGTATATTATTTTAGAATAATAAATTATCATTTGATATACTTTCTAGCTTTATTATCTTTAAATTCTTGTGATTATTATTGAATCTTTTGGGGTGGAGGTTTATTTCTCAAAAAAGGTTTGTGCGCTTCCCCACACACAAACACAGTACACTCGAGTTACACACAAAGATGCCCTATACTCGGGCATTAGAGATTAGGTTTGCAATAATGGGGATATCCGCTTTGCTAGGTGTTAGATTACATCTGATTGGTATTAGCTTGATGGACCCAGATTGTCACCAGGTATAGTGAGTTGACGCTCGAGGGGATAGACATCTCTTGTTTCTAACCTACGATATTTTGGATTTCATTTCCTTCGAGATTGGGAGTAATCTGGTAATCTAGAAGTCTAAAACTTTTTTATCAAGTCTACTTTAAATAAGACCTAATACCTCGCCACAGAGTTGTGACCATTTAGACTATCCAAAACCTTGTAAATGTACCTTATTTAGGTCACGGGAAGCATAATCCAAATTTTATTTGTAACGGCCCGATTTTCGTAATCCAAAATTTCTTTTTAAAACCTTGTTCATGAAAGTGAAGTGATTACTTTTGAAAGACATTACTTGAACGTTTTGGAAACTTGAGTGAATACAAATATTAGTTCCATTTATAAATCACAAGGCGGAAATATTCCAAACACAACTCACTTCATAAGCATGTCATTACACTTCCTTTCAATACATAATCTAAACAATTATCCATTCTTAAGTAACACTTATAATACAAACATTAAATCATCTTCATTATAGATTTAGGAGCAAGTTACCTATACATAAATTCACTTTAACATGTTCTTCATATTACAAACATTTATCATATAACGTATCGATCAGATAAAGCCCTACTCTACCATGTACTCTTCTCCACAATCGTCCGATGCGCTACCGCCATAACCTGAACTCAAATACACAACACATACAAGGAAAGACAGAGGGAGTAAGAACCAACTACGGCGACCGTAGCGTGAATTTACATGGAGTAATAACATTAAAGTATTAAAAACATGCACATCTAACATCAATCATGATAAACATATACCAATCAATACCTTATGCCACATATTATTTATATATCAATTATACGACAATCCACATTCAAAACAATATCAAACATTCGGATATTCTTTATTCTATTTCCATATTACCCATATTCACCCTATAGTATATATATATATCCCATAATATATATTCTATAGCATGCATATTTATTTCATTTCAAACATACTCATTTCTCATCATTCATATTCACCCTATAGTATATATATCCCATAATATATATTCTATAGCATGCATATTCATTCATTTCAAATCACTTTCCTTTTCATTACGTAACTCCTTTGTACTCCCATCTACTAAGATTAACATTTATTTATTCAATGCTACCTCGGGCAAGACTACACCACGAAGGTGATTTCAATACCACGTTGGGTAAGTCTACACCATGAAGGTGATTTCATTACCACGTCGGGTAAGTCTACACCGTGAAGGTGATTTCAATACAACGCCAGGTAAGTCTACACCATGAAGGTGATTCAATACCACATCGGGTAAGTCTACACCGTGAAGGTGATTCAATACCACGTCGGGTAAGTTTACACCACGAAGGTGATTCAATACCACATCGGGTAAGTCTACACCGTGAAGGTGATTCAATACCACATCGGGTAAGTGTACACCGTGAAGGTGATTCAATACCACATCGGGTAAGTCTACACCGTGAAGGTGTTTCAATACCACGTCGGGTAAGTTTACACCACGAAGGTGATTTAATACCACATCGGGTAAGTCTACACCGTGAAGGTGATTCAATACCACATCGGGTAAGTCTACAACGTGAAGGTGATTCAATACCACGTCGTGTAAGTCTACACCACGAAGGTGATTCATTACCACATCGGGTAAGTCTACACCGTGAAGGTGATTCAATACCACATCGGGTAAGTCTACACCGTGAAGGTGATCTCAATGCCACGCATCCTTTAATACAAACATACCCATCTCCATTTTAACACATTAACAACCCATCACACATTCATTGTTACAAACACACCCATATATGTTTATAACAACCAACAACTCGCACACAATCATTATCACAAAACATAACCATTTCTACTTTTACCATTGTTCTAGGTGTAGGCACTTTAGTATGCTTGCCATAACTGAGGGTGATGACACTCACATTTTGTGGGTTAAACACAATCTCGAAAGGTAACTTGCCAAAATTCTGAGACTGCAATATGTTCAGTGATGTAGCCATTTGTCCCATCTGTGTGGTCAGATTCTGAATGGAAGACTCTTGCCTTTAAATGGAGGCTCTAGTTTCTTGTTGGAACTGATTATTTTACATTGTCATCTGCCTAACCAATTCTTCCAATGAGGGTTCAATAGCTACATGATTGTAAATCATGTGCTGCCTCTGTTGTTGGATTGGTGGGGACACATATGGTGGTCTATTCTGTTCAGCAGTGTTCGGAAATGTTGCCTGAGAATGATTTCTCCAACCACGGTTGTATGTGCTTGATGATGGATCATAATTTTACTGCTGCTGAAGAGGTATGTTGTTGTAGATATTTTCAGCATAAGCCTCAGGATGATCACCAGTTCTTGACTAAAAGAGAGAAGGTCACACACTTCAATATAATGATCAATTGATGTGCAAATGCCACACACTCTTTCAAATGGTTGTTTCTATTGATTCATGGCTAATTTAGTGACAAATGTGGTGAGAGAATCAAATTTTATCAATCTTATCATGCCTTACTGCATCAATCCCAACAGCATGCACTCCTCTCACAACTATAACATCATTGCTCCTTTCATTGAACTGTTGAGAGTTGGAGGCCATATTCTCAATCAAAATTATGGCTTCAAAAGGAGTCATGTCTCCAAGTTCACCACCACTAGCAGCATCAGTGGTACTTCTATCAATGTCGTTCAGACCATAATAAAAATACTAAATGAGGAGTTGCTCAAAGATCTGATGATGAGGGTAATCTCTTAAACCTCTCCTAGTACTCATATAAGCTTTCACCATGTTACTGCCTAATTCCAGAAATGTATTTTCTGATAGCAATGGTCTAGGAGGTAGGGAATAATTTACCAAGGAATGACCTCTTCAGGTCACCCCAACTTGTAATGGAACCATGAGCCAAGTAATAAAACCAGTATTTTGTAGGGCCTTCAAGAAAATGAGGGAAGACCTTCAAACAGATTTGATCCTCTTGCACATCATGTCGTTTCATGGTTGAACAGACTATGTGGAACTCATTGAGATGCTTATGAGGATCCTCTCCTGCAAGTCCATGAAACTTAGACAACAAATGGATTAGTCTAGTTTTTAGCACACATGGCACATCATCATATTGGGTGCACAAACTGCCAAAAGTAAAATCAGGTGCATTCAGCTCCCTTAGTATCCTCTCACAAGGACCAGATAGAGTAGATGGCTGAGCCATATTTTCAGAGTGCTCAAAATTAGAATATTGCATAGAATGCAAAGAAACAAAAACATAATCAGTATCAGCTACACTATGGAAAGGTAAATTCATATTTTTCTAACTGACCTATGATATGTTCAATCAATTTCAGGATTTATTGGATGCAAAGGGCATGTATTCCTCCTAGTCATGCAATACAGTCAACAGTAGCAACAAAACAAGGCAGTAATGGAAATGCATGTTATAATTGTGTAAACAACCAAGAGTTTGCTTCAATAAAATCCTAAAATCATAGAGAACATGTACAAAAAATTTCAATGAAAAATACAAATGCAAACTATTTTAAGAATGCAAAACAAATTCACTATAAAAAAAACTTAAAAAATAAAAAAGAAATAGTAACATGTTTTTTTTAGGGTGGATCTTTAAAACATAGTGTGAAACAATGGATAGAATGGAATTTTCAATACCAAATGCATATATTGTATGTCCAATTCTGATATATGGTTCTAAAGTTATGCCAAAAATAAGATTTCGCATAATAACTATTCACTGCATAGGTGTATCTCACAACCTACAGCTTGGAAAGTGATTCTGATTCTTCTAGAGTTCAATGTGGGACGAAATAAGTGTGGAAATAAAATTTCATGTAAAAATTCCACCACAGCTATATGAACCAGTATAACATAATCACTCAACCATGCAAAATGGTAAAACAGGAAATGGAACAGTGAATACTGAACAATGACACAACTTTTAAAACTTATAAGAATTTCCACCCCAAATGCACTACATAAATGGATATATATATGAATAACTAAAATACACTCAACTATACTAAAGCTATATTAAATTATTAAGAACCTTTTGTATGAACCTATAATCCTCGACAATGGCGCCAATTTTGATCGGGGTTATACCCGATACAAATGATAACATAACTAAAGTATAGTACTAGGAAGTGACTCATAGGTCGTCTCCCAACAATTATCAGAAATGGACATGTGATATATGCATTTGGGGTAGAATTTTATGTTCTATCAATTGTGATACACTACATTTGTGAGGTCCGCCCAAAAATCCAAAAGAAAGCCATTTTTACTATTTATTTTTTATTTTATAAGGTTTATAGTGGATATGTTTTGCATTTTTGGAATAGTTAGGCTTTGATTTTTTAATTGAAACTTTTTGTACATGTTCTACATGATTTTAGGGGGTTTGTGAAACCCTCTCTTTACTTTTATAGCTGGGTCTTCTCGCTTGGGCGAGAAACCCACAATATTTTAATTTTCCAGACACGGGCTCTCTCGCTTGGGCGAAATTCTCTCGCTCATACGAGGCAACTCTCGCTCAAGCGAGGATCTTATAGCCTTGACAGGTCCAGAATGCCACTCTTCTCGCCCAGGCGAGACAGTTCTCGCTCAAGCGAGACCACTCTCGTTCAGGCGAGACCACTCTCGCTCAAGCGACGGCTTTCTCGCTCGGGCGAGTTTCCCAGAATTTCCAAAACTAAAACACTAAGTCTCTCGCCCATTGTGGTCTTAGGGTATTTCATTATAGTCATCTTCTCCGATTTCCCTCAAGAATCGGAGAATGTTAATGGATAGAAACTCTCTTGGAAGTTTGTGGTCAATGTGATAGTCTTTATTTTCCATAATGATGTATTAGACATAAAGATGGAGATATATGTCTAGGAAAACCATTTTATTAGATGAAATACAATATGCTCACTTATGGTAATACACCATCATGAAAGATGGTTCTATCGTTAATATGTTATATGATGATGAATATGTTATGAGTGGTTTATTTGTTATAAATGGGCATGAGTATGTTTGTGATAATGATTGTGTTATGAGTTGTTTATTGGTGATAAATGGACACGATTATGTTATGTGATGATGAATATGTGGTGAGTTTGGTTATTTGTGATAAAAGGACATGATTATGTTAAATGACGATGATTGTGTCGTGAGTTGTTTTATTATGGTAATAAATGAGATGCATTGTGCGTATGACATTGATGTAGTATTTGGTGTTATGATGAGGTTGTGATGTGAGAAGAACGTAGTGAAAATGATTACATTGTGAATGATGTTGTTGTAAGGATAAGTCTTTAACTAGTATATCGTATTGGAAAATGCGTGGATTTTCTGTTTATGAATTGATTATGAATCAATGAAAAGAAAACATATTTTTAGCTACCCATCAATGGTGTAGCGATACATTGGCTCAAGTTATGTAGCGATACTTTGGCTCAAGTTCTGTAGCGATACTTTGGCTCAAATTATATAGCGATACTTTGGCTCAAGTTATGTAGCGATACTTTGGCTCAAGTTATGTAGCGATACTTTGGCTAAAGTTATGTAGCGAAACTGTGGCTCAAGTTATGTAGCGATACTTTGGCTCAAGTTATGTAGCACACTTTGGCTCAAGTTATGTAGCACACTTTGGCTCAAGTTATGTAGCAAGCTTTGGCTCAAGCAATGTAGTAAACTTTGGCTCAAGTTATGTAGCACACTTTGGCTCAAGATATGTAGCAAGCTTTGGCTCAAGCAATGTAGCAAACTTTGGCTCAAGTTATGTAGCAAACTTTGGCTCAAGTTATGTAGCAAGCTTTGGCTCTAGCAATGTAGAAAACTTTGGCTCAAGTTATGTAGCACACTTTGGCTCAAGTTATGTAGCACACTTTGGCTCAAGTTATGCAGCATAATTTTAGATATATGTGAATTATGATCTCTGTTGGTTAAAGTGAGAAATGATGATATTTGATTGAATATGTGAACATTATGTGATTTTACGCATTGATTGGTGTATCATTGGCTTATGTGTAATATGGTTGATTTTAGATGTTGTATAGGTTGTAATACTTTAATGTTATTACTGTATGTAATTCTACGCTACGGTCATCGTAGTTGGTTCTTACTCCCTTTTGTCTCTGCTTGTATGTGTTATGTATTGGAATTCAGGTGGTGGCTATAGCGTATTGGATGCTTGTGGAGAAGGGCACATACTAGAGTAGTTACGTTGTATAATTGATATGATATATGATTAATGTATGTAATATGAGCACCATGTTGGATTAATCCTTTTGTAAAATTTACCTCCTCCAAAATGTGTAATGAGATTGAGTTAATGATTGTAATAGAAGTATTCTTTGAGAAATGATAATTGAATAGATTATGAATTTCAAAGGAAGTGTAATAACATGCTTTTAAAGTAGGATGTATTTTGAGTATTTCAGCATTTTGAATTACGCATGAAATTAATATTTGTATCCAATCAGGTTTTACAACTCGTTTAAGAAATGTCTTTTAAAAAGTAATCACTTAACTTTCATGAATAAAGTTTTAAAATTTTTGGGTTCTGAAAATTGGGTCCTTACAATATGGTATCAGAGCATAGTTAATCCTGCGACCTAGTATATGGCCTTACATGCTTCTTTGTATGACTTATGTGAATTGTCTATTGACTATGTGATAACTTCTGATGTGAAAGATGATTGTTAAATTCCTTGCGGTAAGCGTCTGGTTGTTAACTTATCGTTGGATGTCTTGTTGTGAGTTATTGATGAAGTGCTTGTTGAAAATTCCTTGTTGTGAATTTCGTGGAGGGTTTCTTGTTGTAAAACCCTTGTTTAATTCTCTAGTATGACACCTTGTAGAATTTCTGGTTGTGAGTCCCTTGTTGGGAATTCTGTGTTGAAACTCCTGCTGAAATTTTCTGGTTGTGAACCTCTTGTTGAAATTGTTTATGATGAGTTTCTGGTTGTGATTTCCTGTTGAATTCCTTGTTGTGAAATTTACTTGTTGAGAATTCCTGGTGGTGAATCTCTTGTTATGAACTTCTTGTCGGTTTCTTGCTATGGACTTCCTTTTATCCCTAACATTAAGGTAATTTAAGAGGAGCGATTAAATTAGTGTTCGTTGGATATTTGCTTATATGTCTCTATGGTTATAATTGAACAAAATTAAGGTAATGGTCGTTCACTGTGACATCTAATAGAGAATTGAGAATATTGTTTGCATCATGAGAGTATTAAACTTTGAAAGAACTATATCTTATACCTTGAAAATTGGATTTTTAATTCGATTGATGATTTTTTATAATGAAAGGAATGTTAGCTCTTGCTAGATATAGAATAATCTATATCACGAAAAGTTGTATGTCTTGCTATATGGTTTCCTACGTGTCTTTAGTTGAGATATGTTGTTAGTTATCTTGTTATTCCTCAAGACCAAAACAAATATGCATGATGCAATGATTAACCGCTTATTAGACTCGGTGGCTAAATATCTACATTTTATTATATGCATGTAACCATGCACTTTTACTTTGTAAAAGTTTGGTAGCATGTACTTGCCTATCTTGACTATAAATAAACATGTACATCTTGACTTATTCCTGCATACGAGTTTGCTTCCAATACATGAAGGTTTAGAAAGTTGAATGAAATGAGGAAACGTGTGTGTAACATGTTTGGTATGACCATGGTGAAATATCTCTGTGAGGTTAATTGTTAATGCCTTATAATTTATTCCTTGATGCTTGATTGTTAGGAATAGTATGTTAACTATCTTGGTTATCGCTTGAAGGATAATGTAAAGAATTCATATGAACATGTAAATGGATAT